CTTTGTCTATACTACAGCTTGACCATTGGCCTGCGTCACGGATTTATCAACCTCCTGGACAAAAAGAAACACCCATTTTATGTATATGCTCAGGCACTGGTGTCACACCAACGCGATCCTAAATCGAAGAACATGTTTCTGCTGATGCAAATTCGTAAATTTTACAAGTCTTTCCTATCAGTTCTCAACAACCATTTCATCAGGTAACATGCTGTATTTTTGTTGTCGGGACAAATAACACGAATTTTGTACGTAGGGTCAAGTCCAACGATCATTCCTAGCATTAACTTCAACGTCCAGCTCGTCCGAGGTCTGAACCAGCGACGGAGGAAGCAGTTTTCTTGCTTTTTGTGCGACGTGCAGCTCTTTCCGAAGGAGAAGGTGCGTCGTCGGCAGTTGTGGGAGGACCAGAATTTGTGCCTCGTCGCGAAGTCCTTTGTCGTTTTGCGACGGGTTTGATTTGCAGCTCCCAGTCGTCATCCTCTGACCGAAGGGAACTGGATGCTGCCGATCGGAAGAAACGTCGAACGTGTGGCGTTCAGGAAATCAACAGGTACTGTAGAAGTATCGATCCACGTGGTATACAGACCTACGAGCCGCCGGAAATCGAACTGGTCTTGAGCCGATGTTGATATCAAATCAAGGGCATCGTCATCGTATTTTGCCAGTTTTTTTCCCGCGTTCCACGCCAGACAAAAGGGGCTGACATGACTCTGCAAGTGGTTGCGCAGTTCTGGTTGATCGAAAGGATAGAAAAAGTCAGTTCGCTCCTGGGTCTGCTTGTATCCTTCCTCAGATTGCTGTAGAGTCCAACGAGAGACAAGATACTTTTTCGGCAGTTCAAGGGAGAAGAATCGAACTTGGATAGGCTTTTCTTTATAGTCAAAGTACTAAATCATGTCATTCAGCGTCGATCTCCCGGTGGAAATTGGCACTCACCATTTTGGCCGGTTTCTTGCGTTTCTCAGCGATGGGTAAGCGTGTAAAGTCGTGCATGGTCTTGATGTCCTCCTGCGACGGTACGAACATGGCATAATTTGTGCCTAATATGTCGTGGTATTCCAGACATACTAGGCGTAGACGCTATCAGGCAATGACTACCATAGAAGTGTAGTACTTACGCTCTAAGAGATTACGGTGAGTATGCAAGTTGAACGTATTTGCTTCGAATCCCCAGTGATATTCGAGAGAGCGAATCTAACGGCGGTCCACTTAACAGACCAGATAGACCGAAAAATTATTGACTTACTGCATTTATATCACCAGATAACGACTTGTCGATAAGATGGGCAAAGACCACCGCAGTACCGGTAGTATTAGCCTTCGCCGTCAGAAAGCAGAATCCTCCGTATTTGGCAGCATTACGGGCCCGAATTTTGGAGTCCTTGGGCGCATCTGATTTATATGCGGCGTTGAATTCAGGAGTGATGTCTGGAATGCGGTACAGAGCCAGCTCATTTCTAGGGGTGTATGAATGATCCGTATCCTTCTCGCTTTTGCGCTTCTTGAGCAATGTTATTTCCTCTTCAGAGGAGACTGGATTCTCTGCTGAAGTTGTGTCGAGAGTCATTGGGGCGGTGGGGTGAGGGTCGACGTCGTGCTCAATCGGAGTCTTGTATTTTATATATCGTGATGGCAAATGATGCCGTTAGCTAGTTGAAATTGATAGCCCAATTTGGGCGGTTGGTGTGCGACATTGTGTCAAAAATCGTGAGCAATGGTCGCTTCATCGTTGCCATAACATTGTGGACAAACACATTGTCGGGTCAATTGTAATAATATAAGTACATTGTGTCGCAGATTTGGTGGTATCATTTTAAGTGGCACCGGCTGATCTGGTTGATCGTTGACCCGTTGTCACATGATCGTGGTATCCTCGTGACTCTTTTACGAGTCCGAAGAATGAGGTTACTCGTTCTTTACTCCTGCTTCCTCTTTGATTTTTCGTCTGCCATTTAAGCTGTCGCTTTTGATCCTAACATGTGTAAATAGTCTCTTTCAAGCTTCGTCATTTTGTCGTCGTCTTCTCTGTCTCTGTGTTTATTAATGCAGATTTTCTTCTAAAATATTATATGTGCTATATAAGATATTTATAAGTGGTTATACAGTGTTCCCCAATGCTGCACGAGAGTTTGTTTTCAGAGTCCCTCGTAATAAATATATGCAAATAATGATTTTTCGGGTAATTCGGGCGACGAGTCCGAAGAATTGTCCGAAGTTTAAAAAGACTGTCGATTTCCCTTGATTGCCGATCTTCTCTAATCTGGCGTGGACGCAGCAGGGTACTCATAATGTCCTGTAGTGTTGTCGATTGATTGTTTTAGGTTTCTGATATTATTGACTGGGAATAAACGGGGAAAAATATCCTTTCTTTATTCGAGGCGCGTGGCCGTTCAATCGCGTACACTGTAGCAAGTTATAAGTCTGACATCGTTGAGAAACGGTATTTTAGTTTTTGGATTCTTAATGAGCACGATGAATGACTGTCTTCATTTGTGTGAGTTCGAACTTCGCGTGCGTTTGTCGTGTTACGTTAATCCTACTCACACATTCAGACAAAACTGTTGTTGTCGTCTACGATTGTGATATTGAGATCGATGGACGTATTCGGCGGTGTGGCTGGTCCTGGACTTGACATCGAGGATGCTGGACACTTAATTATAATCGTATTGAGGACGTGGAGACGAGGGACATACATGTATCAGCTCTCGATGTATATGCTATTTTCCCTCTGTTTATGACTTATTCATTGATAATAGAATCTTTAGCTACTCACCTCTTTGCTTGAAGATTCGCTGTAATTTCCCTTTTATGACTTTCCATCCCTTTCTGTACGGGTGATAATGCCAGGCAAGAACGGATAGCAGGTCGCAGCGTCAGCGTTTTAGATGTTTTCCGTTTGTTTTTCTACACGCACTTTAATCTTTGTAGGGTAAGGAATTGGCGTGTGCTTGGTGGCATCTAAGTATTATTCTGTAAAATAAGTCTTTTTGATACGTATGTAAGTGTTGATATACTTGCCTTGAAAATGGGTCCCTTGATCTGAAGTTGTGTTGCTTGTGAAGGTTGCGAAAAAGGTGGGAGGACCATGAGTATTGGTTGCTGATCAAGTTGGCGCGTGCGCGTAACTTTAAATCTGTAGTTAATCTATTTCTTCTAGTTCGATCCTCATCTACGAATACCATGGTGCTATTACTTGCGTGCTCTGAAAGAGCGGGTAATCGATCATGATCTTCCCTCTTTCTCCACTACGTGACCTCGCCAATCAATCATTACTGTCTTCGTAGGCTGCCTTCTCCGCTGTTGCATGGCGGTGTCGATCTAATGTGCTTTTTAGGCCTTGTGACGAGTTACCGGTGAAGAAGCTTTGTAAGGAATGTCGCAATGCGAGGAATGGAACGGGGGAACATCGTTTGCGAATAAGTCTTGAGGGCTCCGGAGGGATTATTGATGAGCGGGGTCCTCGAATGTTGACCGGAAACAACGCGTCGTCTTTCTGCTGGCAAGACATCAACGCAATGAAGGAGGAGCATGAGCATGCAGGGTACTGACAGCGGCTATATCTGCGAGCATAGTCCAAGAGCAACTACAAAGTATATTTGAGATTGCGCCTTCCCGAGATCTGTTCATCACTCTCGAAGCATTAGGCGGCGACGACCAAATCGAGATACGCAAAATTCGTTTGACGTTCTGTCCCAAATCGTCGGGTATATTGGTACAGCGGCACGGTGGTCGTGGTCCTAGAAGTCTACGCGACCGAGAACGAGACCCTTGTAATTTTCAATCTCTTTGACTCCCGTTCGTTGCTCCTCCGCCCACGCGACACTCCATTCCTGCAACTTGCCCTCTTCACGGTCTCCAAGTCATCCTTATTTTGAACGCGCGCTCTCCAGGTGATCGAAGAAGACATAGCACGTCAGCCTACCCGGCGGGCGTTCGGACTGTTCATTGAAAATAATGAAGTGTGGTCGACGGGGACGGACGGAGAAGAATTAACGAAGGTAAGCTTTTCCAATACAATGCCGTTGGTCTGCTAACCAACCCTTAGTCATCTACTGAAGTACAATACCTGTAGTGCCGCGGAAAGGTAAGCCATATGTTTTGATTTCCAAGTTCTCACTAACATGATCTTTACAGGTTGCTCAACGCTGGATCTGCACCTACATCGACGAGATCAACAGCAGACGATACACCCGGTTGCGGAACTCTTACCCGTTAGTCCTAGCTGGTAAATCTTCCACACTCAATGTTTGACCTTACGCTGACTTTATTCTACTTCAGGAATTGCCTCTGGGGGGGTCAACAGGCTCGTATTCGATGCCAATGTGGGAACGGCGAGGAATAGGCATCGTACTGGGCTATACAGCCGGCGTTTGACGAGGTAAGAGTGCTGCAAGGCAGCACTATTCAGATACTGATGTCTCGTCATCAGATTTATGAATACTTACCTACAAGTGATTCAAGTTAACAGCTCACCGATCATACTAAGGAGTGGTTAGTAGATTTCGTGTGTTTACGGTCGATTCAGAACTCATCTGGTAAGTCTAGCCGTAAATTTTTATTCATTAAAGCTGACGAGTTTACGAACTTCCTGTAGCTAACAATGTCCTCATTTAAGATCCATCAGTGATGTTACGACTTTAACATAGAACGGGGCATTTGACACTTCCAGGTAAGTGTTGTGTATGACACATAAGGTTTGGATAACGTGCAGTGCCCGTCGTGGAAAATTTGGTACCATCTAGAGTCGACACTAGCACTGGGCTGTGGGCTGTGTCGCTTAGCTCAATGATTATCGACTTGAATGCGCTGTTTTGAGGGCCATCCTCGCATAGATTACTGGTACGTGGTAAATGTAAAGGTTACGATACCTTACGAGGTCCTTTAACCGAAGAGCTACACACGCCAACGGGGTGTATTGCGAGAGAGAGAGTCAAAGATACAAGCAGTAAGGTAAACGTAGATGATGAAAGTAAGTGATTCAGATGTGAAAGTCTGAACTCGGAAGGATAACGGGCGCTGCTAAAGACGTAGGTAAATAATAGTACATAGATAAAGTCCAGATCCCTTACACCCTCCCCCTTGAGATTGGGCATAGGGAAGCAATCTCGACGAAAGAGTCAAATTACAATAAGATCCTGTTATTGTCCTGTGAATCGAGCTCGTCGGCTTCGCCATCAACGTTCGAGTTCGAGCCTGAAGTAATGGTCATCGCGATAGAGGCCTTGGTTGATGGGGAAGCGGTAGGAGCAGTCGACAAGTGCGTGATGGATGGGCCTGCATGAGAAGCATCGCCATCTCCAGCCATAGGTACGTCTGCATCTCCGGTCACGGGCAAAGAAGTTTCAGCTCTATAATCAACGCGATCAGTGTGCTGATGGCATCTATTAGACTTGCTCGTGGCCTCCCGAATGATTGGGTAATTGAGGAAATGTCTGCGACGTGCTTCGAGGATCGGAATTAAGTCCCATTCAATGGGAGCCGTCCAATAGATCTGAGGAGCGGAATTGTCCTGGAACACGGAGATATCACGGGGGAGATCAAAATGATGGATACGCCATGCGAAGTCGTCCAGGGCCTTGTAGGCACGAGTACGGAGGGTACCCTTAAAGCGCCGAGTAGCTGCAAGAAGTAGCTCTCGGCCATAAGGCTGGATATAACAGATGTGGGAGTACTTGACTCCGCATTTAGCAAGGTGAGTAACGATGTCAAACTGAGAGGCTCGACTGATGAGGGAAAGAGGAAATGGAACCAACTTTTCTGAGTCTGCAATGGTAAGATGTCGATCACGGCAAATGTCTGAATATACAATGGGATGGACCAGCACGCTAGCGAGAGCGATGGCAAAGCCATGCCGATTAACTCGGGTTGCGTTACTCGGAATGATTGATTGGAATAACAGATACCCAGCCAGGGTACGGATATTGACAGATCCGGTAGTCGTGACAGATATACCAGGGTAATGACGTTCCGTGCCATGAAGGAAGATGAAGCTTGCCCACAATTGAGGGTCAAGACAAGTATCCTCGGGTGCAGTAACCTTCACAGGAGGAGGAGGGAGCAGAGGTAAGTCCCTGCCATTATTCCCATCCTGTGTTTGGGGCTTTAAGTCAGGAATTTGTCCTAGCCAGCGAGGACGGCGACGATTCCACTGAGTTAGAAGGGTACGTTCACCATCAGTGATGAGAGGATAAGGGGCTGGGCGTCTATTTTGCTCGCAAACGAGGTTAACGGACTGCTTTCGTCGGATAGCAGTGATCACGTTTGAAATTCGATCAACAATGACCCAGTTATTAGGAGTGTGGGCCACGTCAATCATTGATGTGGCGTCAACAGCTGTGATAGGAACCGTGCAGGATGGATCATATCCTTGAAGTGACGCGTAATAAGTCTCGTGAAAGGAAAGATCTGCTCTCGGAGGAGAAGGTCGACGAGTTCCTCGTGTATGAGGAACTGCAGGATATGGACGATGGTCGTGCATACCTCGAGACGTGCGGGAATGACGGTCCCAAGTGGCAGCATGTTCTGTGGTCGGAGTGAGGGACTGGAGAGCACTTAGAGATTCCATCC